TCCCCCTCCCCACCCCTGGCGACATCCATGGTCACAAATGAACACCTGACGTTAAAAATTAATCATTGCCGTTTAGTATAGACATTCATTTTATGTTATGACAAAAGGACATTTTTTGTACCCTTTTTTGTAGGACATTTGAATAGGGGTACGGTGTAATTGACATTTTATAAATTCAGAGAAATCTGTGTATTTAAGTCAATACTACTTCAATGTCGTGTTGCTTTGTTTCACTCATTAAAACCAGAGCATTTCAATTGTTCATTAAAACTACGAAAATTCATTGCCACTGAAATATGCCCTAAAATAAAAAAAAACTTCTCAAAATGTATAAAATGTCATTGATGATGTCATCATGATGTCATCATGATCGATGAATCGACGAAATAAACAGAGTTCGTTTGATTCGAACTCAAAACAATTATTATTTCATATTTGAACTTTTACAAAAAATTATTTATACGACTTTTTCCTTTCATAAAGAAAACATGGAAAGCGTTAAAATCGAGCACAAAACGTCGATGTTAAAAAAAATAGGCTTTATTACTTCCATTCGTATTCTTGGACCCGGTCAGTCACTGCAGGGTCATCAATTGATGCCCTAAATCCCCTTTGTTGGTCCGGGATCGATTACCAGCCGGAGCAGTCAATTCTTTGATCAGTTAAAACTTAATTATTTGTTTTGCTCGCGAATATGCTGACATGGACCACGCGTGCTTGCACTTTGCATTTACCGGGGCTCAGTACCATTATCTGGATGGCAGGTGCATGTAATTTCATCATGGAATCAGCATTTAGTTAGAACCGATTTTTATCCCTGAGGGTTATTAGCCCTGGGCGTATGGAAGAAGACGACTCACACGTACAGACAAACACAAATGCACCCATGCCCGAGGCGGGACTGGAATCCGCGATCTTCTGGTCTAAGGCTGCTACGACACTACTGTATTGGCAATCTCGGCCATCTGATTGGCTGTCTGATTGGCTAAGGCACAATTGCCGTGGCGATCTCGGAAGGAAGAATAGCGGATTCGAGTTTCCCCTTGGGCATGTTTGTGTTGTGAATATCGGTATGTGCGTGTCGTCCTTTTACCACTCACTATCATAATCATTTCATCTTCCATACTCCCAGGGCTAACAACCTAGGGGGATAAAAGTCGGATCCAGGTAAATGTTGATCCCCTGATAAAAAGTTACATGCACCTGCCTCTGAGATAATGTTTCTGAGCCCGGTTAATGGAGGGTGGATACACGCGTGGTCCACGTCGGCCTGTTGGCGAGCAAAAAAGGAATGACAAGGATGGTTGTCTGCTTGGCAGGCGGTGGCGCGTGTCGCGCGGGGCGCACGTGCGCGTGGCGGCGGCGCAGGCGCACGCCGCCGCCTGGGGGCTGGGCCGCGCCTCGTGGTGCGGCGACGCGCGGGACTTCTTCGGGCAGATGGTGGCGGCGCTGGGGCGGCGCGCGTCGGGCCGGCTGCTGCGGCCGCGCGACACCAAGGTCTTCGTGGTGGCGCCTCCGCCGCCCGCCGCCCCCGCCCCCGGCCCCGCCCTCCTGCTGGCGCCGCCGCTCGCCATCTCGCTGCAGACGCTGCACCGCCTGCGACGGCTGCTGCGCACAGGTACGAATGCGCTCTACTTGACCAACATGCTTGGTTTTGCGTCTTGTCACTGCTCTTGTGCTCTTGTCAAACTAAAGCTCAACAACTTCCACAATGTATTAACTATTTTAATGCTCCAACAGTAACACGGTAACTTTGCCGTTCCTACTGTTACAAACCTATGCAGTTTTTTTTGCTCAGATCAGGATGGTCTGACGCATCTGTAACTAGTAAAACACTTTATTCCTTTACATGGCAATACATACAATTATTTTTGTAGAATAAATATTGATTCGTAAAGCTCCATTGTACTGAAACATCTGTACATAGGTATTCAACGAAACCATATACGCTTCTCAAATGTTCAGAGACTGCAGAATTTTCTTTCTGCGCGCTTTGGAAATTACTTGCAGACATTGATATCGTACGGTTATCGATTTGGCGGAACCACGCGAACGAAAACAAGAACACTCTTAACAGTCGACGCCCGTTCAGGATTTAAGAGTCTCCTCCATTACAAACAATCGATACAAATTAGTTATAGGAAAAGATGACGAATGAGCTCACAAGCTCCAAGAAAATATTTTTTTATTTATTTTATTTATTTTATTTTTTATTATAAAAAGGTGGAAAAACGAACATTATTGAACGGCACACGACTGAAAACACAAATAAAATACTCATTTAGTTATACATTTTCGAAATACTCATCGGTTTACAAACTTGAAGCCCGCAGTCGTTTGTTGTTTATCGGCCTCGCGACGTTAATAACTATTTTCAACGGACACCGCTTACCCCCTACCACCTAATGGGGTGCACCTTGACCCATTCCTTAGACTCTAATACTCCTAACACTACCCACCTGTCATCTACGCACCTCCAGAGGATGCTCAGGGCATCAATTGATGTCACTGCAGTGCTTTTAACCGTGAGGTCGAAGGTTCCATTCCCGACGGTGGCAGGGTTTTTGACTCTAGCTGCATAGATAGGATGAGTTCTGTCGCTGTCTGGATTCCATGGCCGTTGCGAACGCTTATTTAGGAGTCTGTTTTAAACTGTGGAAAATCTCTGACGCAATAGCGACCTCGGAGAGCGTCTTTTATCGTTGGAAACAGCCAAATATTTCTAGGAGCCAGGTTAGGTGAGTAGAGGGCGTGAGAAACCGCCAACAGCAAGTTGTTTCCACAAAGGAACTCCTGCGTCGCTTTCGCCTCATGCGTTGGTGCGTTGTCTGGATGAAAGAGCACACATGCCGGGCCGTTTTTCTCGCAATATTGGAAGGAGATGTGCATCAAAACATCCTCTAGCTCGCACCTGTCACCTGTTCCATCCACTGTCACAATTGTTGAAAAGGAAGCCCCCCTCATGGCGTCTTCTCGTGTCAACATGATGTTCGGCCTTCTTTGAACTTCCGCACCCACGAACACCCGTTATTCACAGTCATGGCACCGTCACCACACGTCTCACCTAACTGACGATGGATTTCAATGGAAGTCACACGACAGAGAGAAGAAAACGAATTACTCCCTGTTCTTGCAGAGGAAACGTCGCCAATTCTGGTATGAAAATCAGCTGGCTGTACAGGCCTGCCAACTCTGCACCACATACACAAAAAGTGCCCTCGTATTTTAAGCTATGTCGCATATTTCTATCTGCACCTAGTCCTGAGAAAAAAATCGAAGATCTTACAACTTGAACGCACCTCGTAATAATCGTACTTTGTGAAGAAAGTCAACTATAAAACGTTGGACGCCTTTTGCTTGGAATCATGGAACACGGTTTACAACGATATTGTTACAAACAAAAAATAATTCATATTTTTCGAAGCTGTCACTCAATTTAAAAACGTGACTTCCCCTTAAAACAGAAAATGAATTATATGAAGGGAAAACAACACCTGGATAACATGAGACATAATATCACGTAAAACAAAACGAATTAATTAGAACTAAACCTTATACTGTCTCTCACAATTTCAACTGTAATTTTCAAAAGTACACATCAGTGTTAAGGAAAGTCATAAGTGAAGCTCAAATCATGAAGCATAATCAGTATGTTTTGAATGCAGATAATTAAAGAAAAGCAATGTCGAATACAGAAAAAAAGACCACATCAACATCCAACAGAGACCAATGCTTCAACCAATACTTTTCTTGAATTGCTGTTGACCTCACTAAGGATCTAAGCAGCTATAAAATTCAACACCAACGAACAAACCGCTAAATAATTTCGATATGTTTCCGAAACTTATTTCTAATAAATGCTCTAAATAATAGGTTAACTCAAAAATAAAAATTAGCCCATTTTAGATGAATTTCCGGATTGTTTGTTAAAGACGTGTGCTTGCTAGCACTTAACGAAAAATGTTTGATTTCCATATTTGCTGAAGATTCATTCATGTGCTCTATATAATGAAAAATGACTGTAATAGTACCTTTCAATAATTTTGATGAAGGTCACTATTATTATTCATTTATTTGCAGTTTATTTTTCCTCTGAGAACTACAAGGTATTCCACTTTTCAACATTTACTTTGCAAGCACAGTCGTGTTATATAGTGTATGTGCGAAACTTCTTAGCTGCTAAAAGATTCTCTGTTTCGCAAGCACTGTAACAGAGCTGCTTCTCTGGCTAACATGATTATTTACTTTGACGAACAACTTGCTATTTTTCTCGGACCTCTGCTGCTACTGCTCCTAAGTCGGTTCCATCGTCCGCAAAGCTGACGCCATTTTCGACACGGTTCTTGGTTCGTGGTGACTGGTTGAGTGATTTCCGGTACGTCAACTACTAGGGTCATTAGTCTTGTAAGTGTAGTGCATGTTTTGCTCGATAGATGGCGATGATCTTTCTCCCGCTGTATGGCGAGATCCGTCGGCTGACTAGCGGGTTTTCCCTAAGCAGGTATCGCCCACCAGCAGATTCCAATGTTTTGCTCTCTTGCGAAATAACTTTGTATCAAATTTATTCACTCCACCTGGTGATTATTAGTGCATTTTACTCTACTGAATAGAGCATTGGCAAGTACAGAGTACATCGAACTCATCACAATTCGACAAGCCAGCGGGATTCATCTGGCTATGAGCTTCCTTTGAAGTGTCTTTACTCATTCATTGCATTTTGTCATTATGCATTCATTAATGTTAAATTTATATGGTGCAACCCCTCGTTTTTGTGCATGCCAAAGTTTTTCGATTATCAAAGTGTAATGTATTACTGCCTAGAGGCCTGTTTAAAATTTTAACTTAAAGAATTACATATAACTAATTTGTGTGCTTCCAACTAATTATTGCTCTCCCCAAAATTCTTCTCTTTTTCGAAGCGTGAACCAACCATCTTTGTGTTCAATTCTTAATTACAAAGAAGGGTTACAGTTTTGATGTGGGTTGAACATGTGGGTATGATGATGTAGGATGAATGGGTAATGGTTATAGTATTTACAAGTAAGCCTTCTAATCAGAATATGGTAGTGTTAAGGTAATTGATTCAATTTGAACAGATAGAAAGTGTAGCATCGCATTTCACAAAGAATCAACAGAAAACAAACACACAATGTTCTTGAATTGTTTCTGATAAGTGATCATATGTCTTTTGTAGCCCTTATGAAGGCTAGTCGAAAAGTTATTCATTGACAAACTCAAGAATCACCTACCGTTTTTATTATATAAAAGATCTAAACGCAAAGCCTTCGCAGTCAATTACAATGCCAGGTGACCCGAAATATTGTCCGTCGCTCTGGAAGGAGGCTCTGTGTTCCTTCATGGAATTTTAGGTCTTGAAGAGGCGGTGGAACCAAATACTATGTAGACAATACAGAACTTTTTGAACATTTCTCATACTTTTAACGTGAGACAACTGCTCACTAGCGAACCTTCTGACGTGACCTGGAAAATCGGCGACTAATTGAAATCTCAATACACATGCAACAACTTTCGAATCATTCTGTAAAACGTAGGTAAACTAAAACACTTTCAAACTTACACATTTCGTACTTGATATCACAATGGTTGTCAGGTCGGGCTACTAGGGTCGCTAATTTCAAGTATCTCCCGTTATATCGCCGCGTGTCCTACATTGTCTCTACGGTATTTTGTGGCACCCCAAGTGCTGACGGGAGAGGCTGGCCGCTGCCAAATGCACCGCAGTGTCTCCTGACTCCCAAACGACTCCGCGCTCTCGAAGGCTCCATATTTGAGGCGCCGCAGCCCCTTTTGGCGCGGCGAGCGACGCCCGCTGCCCGCTTTCTCAGCGACTGGGCTGAGAGAGCCAGAGGCGCCGCGTGCACGGAGGCAAGGACACGCGGCGGGAAAGCCTCTCAATCAATTATGCACGCGGCTCAATCAATTGTAATCAATTGTTTTGCTTCTCGGCGCGCTAAATAAAATCGGGGGACGCAGTGATGGCCGGGTGCGTAGGCTCGTACTTTCTCGCATTATTTCTAAATATGCAATTTTTAGAAATTCAGAGGGTTTAATAAAAAGGAGACCTGAGTCATTATTTTAAGCGTCCCTTCATCTATCCGTGGGAAACATTTGAAGAAAATATTTGGGGTGGTTTTTGAAAAAAAAAAAGTGTTTAAAACATTGTCTACACTTCACGCAAAATTACACGAAAACTATTTATATTTTCAAAATCATTGATCATGACCTTATTCCAAAATCTGTCTTTGAGGACCATATTTAGCTAAGAAAAAAATCTCCATCTTCATTATTGTAGTTACAGGAAGACGCCCAAAACATTTAACTTCATTGAATTTCGCCTATGCCACGAGCTAGAGGACGTAAGTTACTACGTTTAGGAACATGATCTATCTACTCTTTCATTTCCAGGGCCTGAGAATTAGTTTTCTGCCGAAAATGAGGAGTTTTCCGGCGCACAATTACAATACTCTCTTCTTACATTATGTAAGGGAAGAAAGAAAACACTCCTTCTATCCCCAGCAATCCTTTAATGATCTAAAATTGAGAAATAAAAAGGATAAAAATCTCTGGAGTTAATATTGCAGGTGGAAGATAGGATCGAAAATAAATTAAACGTATGCAGATTTCAAATGTAAGAGTTTTGAAAGAAAACGGGAATTATCCCATCTTTATAAAAAAATCCTCTATCCCAGCAAAAAAAGAGGGAAAAAATTGCTTAAATTTCTCAAAAAATGTTAAAATATCATAGAGGCTTCATGTAAAGTACTTCCAAAAATCGAAATGATTTCACAATTAGATCTATTTTGACATATTTAACCAGTTTCAATTCAAACTCTTATACTCTGCCAAAGTTATGCTTATGATATACATCCACTGTACATTCATTCATTCAGATAGACGTGATTTTCGGTTACAAAATCGCTCGCTTGCCGCGCCACCGGCATTCGTCTTTATCATCTTTGGAAGAACACTAATATCCCTTTATCCTGACGTGAGTGCGAAGTTACACCTTAGCCCTTATCTGCGTAAAGTGCACGTGTGGGCACGCTGTACGAATCTGTAGATAGTTCAAACATTCATTTATTAATCAAAATGATCAAAATGTCGCGGGAAAGGAATTATAACTTCATTTGGTTTTCCATAACATTCTAAAATGTGTCACCACGTGTATTTCAAAATTTTAAGAAATATTATTTTATTATACAGTTGGTGTAAGGAATAGTTTTTTAAAACAATATTCAGACAGATAAGGGTTAAAATAGCATGTTTACGACTTTTTAAGACTGAGAATTCGAGACCGTATTGTTTAGGTGATGCCATATCACATCACTCGAGTCAACGTTGTAATAGGTGAATACTGCAGTGCGGCACCGCTTGGGTACAGTTAGAATATTTACTAGAGTTAAGTTGTTGCTTTTCTGTTAGGTGCGAACCGGCTGCGATTGCGATTCCTGGCGATGGCAGATTGCAGATTCCAGCAAATAGCTAACAGCAATTCATCCGCTGCCTGGAGGAGAATTACATCCTTGTATGGAATTTGAGTACCTGCGTATGTCCGTCCGTGCGTCAGTCCGTCACTCACAGTTAAACCACAAATCAAGACATACGAGTGTCCTTCGACGCGTCTCGACCTCCTTGTGGGAAGCGATTATTTGTTTTCGGAAACGGCCAGAAGATTCTAAGAAATTTCCGAAAACGTGTTTTTGCGTGTTGTAACGCTGCGAACGTATTGGGTAGACAGCGAATTAAACCCACGTCACCTAGGTAGGTCTACGAAGTTGGTGTTGATTAAACCTCAGTATACAGTGGTAATTTTCACTCCAAAACACCATACTTTTCTTTCTCGAGGATAGAAACACTGATTGCCTTCTGTACGTGCAACATTGAGTGTATCGCTCGGCAGAACTGCTAATTTGTAGTAATGCTTTGGAGTTATTCTTAACAAGCGAAGTGTCTCATGTGTGTGCGAGGGTGGTAATTACCGGTCGCTTACATGAATTTAAAGTTCGCGACCTAGTCGGGATTCGAAATTACCGGCACCCATCGAACAAATGAATGGCCGGAACCTAACTCGAGTATTAAGGCCACGTAATTTGCTTGTAAAAACGGAGATTGGGGTTTGAAAGCAACATTTCGATCAGGTTCATCAGCGGCAGGATCATTTCCGTCGCCTCCGAATTTGGAAGATGCACCTACGGGCGTCCGTCGTACCCAGCGAGAAATCCGGCCACCCCAAAGATACAGCTTCGAAACTACGAGAAGGAACTGTAGTATATGAGGCCCAGTTACTACAGTTTTGTTTATTTTTAATTATGTTTCTAGATTAAACTGTTCTTTTTTCAAGTAAATATTCTTGACTGAATTTGACAATTAAAAGATTCAACTGCGGTTGCACTGTTTCAACTACACTACAGATGGTTGGAATTTTTGAACATGAGTTGCATGACATTTAGAACTGTTCAACAAATGAAAGAAACAATTAACAAAACAATTTACAGCGTCGGCGACACAACATTCAACTAGTTTAAAAGTTTTGCACTAACACGTACTTGTACCGGCTGAGACAATCTTTTGCTAGAGCACCATTGCCGCCATTTGCTGTGTTGTTATGAAGAAATGATCTTTTGTTCGTATTTATTAGCTCCGAAAGTTTGAATAATTTTGATAAAAGAATCATAGTCGAGAGTCGTTTTTGGCAAAAGAACCATATTCCTTTAAATGTAAGTTTTCTTTGCAATTACTTCTCAAGCATAGATTACCTCAATCTGCAGTGGGTGAAAATGTTTGTTATGCAAGTTTGGTTATAGCGTATAACCTGTTCTTGTGGTATGTACGCTCTTTGTGTTGTAAATCTAAAACAGCATGAGAGAAAATAATAGCTACGAAATGGATTGTACATCTGATGTAGAAAGAACACAGTGAAAAAGACGTAAACGAAAGAAAGACAAGAAAGAGGATGCAGAAAGAGAAAAGAAGGTTAACGGAGAAGCACATTTTAATCACAAAGAAATCTTCAGTGGTTTTGTAAACATTTACAGTCACCTGCTAACAGACATTTGAATCTAAATTGGTCGTCAGTGGCAGACGCTAAAATGAAAGAAGAAAACACTCGTAATGATAACAGCAGTGGCGAAGAATAATAAGTTAGTCAATAATATTCCAAATTAATTAAGTGCATTAACCCCTTGCATTATTCTACAAATATTGTATTATTACTGCCACAAATAAATAATTTTGGTATACAAATTTCTCAGTATTTGGAAAAACACAATACACACCTCAATTTATCCAATAATTTTCACAATCTAGTTCGATCTTGAACTACACTCAAACGTTCATCAGTATTTACAATAGCTTGAGTATGTGAGCAATGGACCAACAGTTTTCCAGGGTATGTAAATTGGGGACCTGAAGGAAAATAAGAGTTTAACCTATCTCTAAATTGAGGACCGACTCAGCGAAGGGCATACGTAAATTGCAGACCGACAACCTACTCCCCTTCCAGGTAAAAGTGGAAAGTGACATTTCATTTTCGAAGAACATTTTCACAGCTATTGGTTTTAAGCCACATCTCTTTCCCCGATTTTCCAAACTTAAAACTGGCATATTTCGTTCGACCTATGGTTTCGTTAAAATTAGTTTTCATTCAATTGAATCAGGTATTGCTTGCATGAATTCTGCTTTTCTTTCGATTTTATATTCTTCCGTTTTCTGAGCGAATATTGCAGAACGCTGAACTTGAAATGTGGATACCCTTGTAGTGCTTTCTTTGCTTTTCATTTTGATGTGGAGCGAGTCAGGAATTGTTCTATAAGCTACAAGGAAAAGGCAGCGGAACAGCGGCGCGGCGGCGGCGGCCCGCCTAACGCGCTTACCTGCTTAAACACTCCTTTCCTTACCGATGTTGGTTTGGCCCTCAATTTATATGTAGAATTAGAAGGTAAGTTTCGCGAGAAAATATCACGGGATTATTTGGTCTGCAATTTTCATACGGCCCAATTCTCATGCTTCAAATATCTATCAATTTGGTCATGGAACGTTTTTTCCTCTCCTGAAAAATAGTGTTTTTGGACTATGTTTAAAACAAAACCTTCAATTGATGTGCGCATATTCGTTGTACACTTTCTCGCTTTTGAGTCTCGCCCTCCCTCCAGCCTGGTTCTTCGCTCACGCGTCTCCGCCGCCGGCCGCTCGCGCTGTGGGAATGAAGC